AATTGTCTGCGGCTGCTGCTGGGTTGGCACTGGCAGCTGCTGCAGCCAAAGCCCCTGTTGCTGCTGCTTGACTGAGACCTAAACCTAATGTGTTAAGATTATATCCATAGCTGGCTAATGTATTAAGTGCAGAGGTGATGGCCACCAGGTCATTGCCTGTGAAGCCAGATAAAACTGCTGGAAAGGCTGCGACGCCAGCAAGGTTAGCATGTCCTAATAGCCCTGCGGCTGCTGCAGCAGTTGGTAACACTTCAGCAGTGTTTGCATAAGGAGATCCGGTTGGATTGGAATTTGCCACTGGACCTGTCACATTGGCATAACTGATATTGAGACAGCTGCCACTTTGTGGATCCTCTTGTATCTTCTGGATGATAAGTTCAACAGCTTTTCGGTTTTGTTCAGGTTCTCCACTCACAGTGACAACCCTCTCTTGCAAGTTGATCCCATCGGGTTTCTGGGAAAGCTGCACCCAAGCCCCTGACTGCTCCATTATAGCCTTCACAGTAGCACCTCCCTTCCCTATTATCAGACCTGCTGTGCTGTTGGGAACTATAATCTTTACCTGTAATTAAAAAAAATACGTATAAATAATACTTCTGTTTTGTGCATATACATTACATTACTTTGCTAACCTGGAAAAAGTAAAATCATAAGTTGAAAATCAGTTTAAACATAATTTATGAAAAAGAAATATCACAACTTTAAAGTGACTTTTATCACATTTTAATACAACATTCTTGTAAAATTAGAATTTTCAAAGGAAAAAGCAATTTTCAGGTCATTATTAGCAAAGAAAAATTTTCCTTGAGTCTCTGCATTTTGCAATAAAACATAAAAGAAATTAGTGTTACAAAGGAGGGAATCTTTAACTGCATATTAATGATAACATTTTTATTTAGCTCCAAAATCACAATGCTGTTGATGACTCTTCACCTACTGTAGCTTTAAGAAAATCTTCTGCTCTACATCATACAAAAACGGTGAATGCTGAATTATAAAGCAAGTTAATAGAGATAACAGAAGAAAAAGTTCTAGCTTAAGTCCCTTCAAAACATTAATTTCATGTTCCTTATCATCTAGTAATTTTTGTGTTATTCACAAACACCTTGCTTGTTTTATGGCTAAGGCTTTTAGAGTATGAAAGTCAATATAATTATTAATAATATTTATGTTTTTCAACTAAACTGGTAAGTAACGCATAACTTATTAACATAAGTGATTTCTAAATAACAATTTGAAGATTTGCAATGGCTTTGAGTAGATTAAGGCTATTTAAGAATTTTATTATTTGGATATCCTATCTACATTTGTAAAATGATTATTCTGATTAAGTAGATAATTGTCTTTTTTGGCAGTCATAGTTGCACTTTTAAAAACAGGGCTTACTACTTTATTGCCAGAGGACACTGAATAATTACTGCAGTCACATGAACATTTACAACAATCTAATGGGACCATATGAAGTAAAGGCATTTGGTTAATTTGTACTGAAACATCCAGCCACAAAAATCAGCATGTTTTGACTTATTTAACAACAATCAAATACACTGTAAGAAATATAAAATCATTTTCCATAACCCCTAAAATTAAAACATGGATATCGACATTTAAAATATTTTGGTAGTACAATGATACGTATGACAATGTTTTATGGCTCACTGGGTGGATCAAAGTATGATTGCATCACTGACAAAGCACTGAAGTAATTGTTTTCTTGTCCCAGATATTAAAATAATTTGCTGGAAATTTATCAGTTGTTTGGTTGAGAATCTCTGAGATATTTCATTAGCTAATTTTTAAAAACCATCAGCAACACTATCTTTAAAACAGATTTGGATATGAGTATTTTAAAGAAATACAGCCACAAATTTTTTGGCAATATTGTTCTTGAAGGTGTAAAGCTGTGAAAGTATAGATGCAAATTCTAGACTGGGTCCTCGATAAATGTATTTATTGATGTCACACACATACAGGTTTACCCACACACGTACGTCATTTTCTTTCCACACACAGAATTTATGTGGTAGAATTTTTTTTATTTTCATTTCTTCATATAATCTTTACATTTTATTGTAAATATATATTCTAGAAATATTTTTCAGGAATGTCAAATATATCCCTTGTATCCCCTGAGTAAATGCATTTAGTTTCAGGAAGTAGAATGAAAAGGTATTGTTTCTGTTTTTTTTTTTTTTAATATGTGTTAACTTCCTTAAAGTCTTTTTTAAAAATTATTTGTATGAAAACATTAATGTGTTATAATTAGAAAATTAAAATATGATTTGATACCATCCCAGTTATAAAAATGAATTAAAATTATCCTTAGGTTTTATCCTGTGCATGTGAGATATTAAGAAATGTTACTTTTAACAATTTAATTATTGATGGTGTATATGGTTATATTTAATTAATAAGAATTTATTTTGAAAATCAAAACTGTTTTGCAATAAGACATTTGTGAAAACATCTGAGCACTTCCAAACTGCAGTGCTTTTACTTAAAAATCTTATAAAGAAAAACACATTAATCAACCATGACTTTCAAAACAGCAATTGATTTTCTGCTTTAAATTCTAAGGTCATTATTGTTTTGTTCAATGTAATGACTGAAATCTGGAACAAAATAGCACATAAAGGTTAATGATGGCCACTATCCTATAGGCTGTTAATAAAACGTAATTTTATAACATCTTCTATACAATCATCCTAACTTTCTATATATGTGTTCAGCTGATATTAACTTCTATTACACTGCACATTTGTTCTGTGAATTTATCGCACCTGATTCTTTTTTTTTTAAACTCTAGGACTAATAACCAAAAGAACTTCCTAATATAGGCATGGTACTTACAATACAGAACATTAGCTTGTCTTTTAAAAATCTCTTATCTAAATTACTTTTATTTTTAATATTTAAAAATTCTGAAATAACATACAGTTCAGAAATAATGTGGTAACTTCTCATAAAAATAAACACTTTCTAAAACTTACATTCACAAATTGAAGTGTTATGCCTCATTGTCTCTTTTTCATATTAAAGATGTCTTTATGTAGTTAGTACTATCCTCTGGATTTTAGTTTTAACCATTTGAATAACCTTATATGGAAACACGGTCAACCATAATTGTTGTTTTATTAAATACAGAGGTAGCACCCGAATTTTGTTGGCATAACTGGTATGTCCACATGTAATGAAATAAAGGTTGTTATGATTGAAAAGAGACATTAATACTTGCATCTTAGTATTTATAATATATATAATTTCTTAAACTTAGAAGAAAATAATATTCTGTATAAGATGATCAATCTTAGAAAATAAAACAAAATAAGACATAATCTTATAAATGCCAATTGTAATAAATGTTAATAAATCATAGTCTAACTAAAGAATATGTCACCCAAATTTTATCTGACACAAGATGTAAAAATTCTCTTAGATTTACAGTGCCTTTTTTTCCTGGAAAAAATTTTAAAATCCATAAATGTTTTCAGACTTAATACTAATTGAATATAGGGGAACAACAAACCCTCTGGAAAGTTCAGACAAAAAGAAAAACTAATTAATTTGCATAATATCACAAAGAGAGTAGTGTTATATTTACATTTCATGAGTCAGGCCAGAGTTAAGAAGAAGTGAGACACGAGTGTGGGAGCTTGGAGGTGGTGGGTAACTGAATACTGGTGGGGAAAAAAGAGAAAAGGAGCATGGAGGATTATGTAAGGAAGTCTATTTGCTTACTTCTTAGAGGCATACTGCATTTACTGAAGGAAAATCTGTGCATTGATAGTGCTTACATTCCCACTGATATGATAAATAGAAAATTTTAATTTTATATATGAATTGATTTTTATTGATGAAGTCTGCTTAACACCCTGACATAAATGCACATACTCTTATTTCTAAAGAACCGAAAGAAAGCAAAGAACTATATGTTAAATGGCATAAACCTTATTCCGTGTAACAGGTATACTACTAAATCAGGTATGTTCTTGACAGTTACAGATCGGTATTCCCTTTGGAGCTATGATCTATAGTTGCTACCCATCCATCTCGTCATTCATGAGTGTTACTGAGTGGCCCAGGCCCTGTGTTGAGAGCTAGAGATAACAGATATATATGACACTGTCCCTGCCTTTAGAGAGCTTATAGATTAGGTGTAGAAAACAAATGTATAAATGTTCAGCAAAGATCTTAAAGGGCTGTACAGAAGTATATAAAGGCATAAAGGAGACATAAAGTCTAGCAAGAAGACATGGTAGAAAATAAAATCTTTGAGAGACTGTGACTGTATTTATCTAAATGTCTTTCATATTTTGTAAATCAGCATACTATCTGTATACTTTTTTTTTTTTGTAGTTGGCATGTGTATTCGCCAGAGAGAGACAGAAAGATGAGGTGGGAGAGAGAGAGAGAGAGCAATCATGAGAAAGCAGTGCCCCGGGGAATGGCCACAATGCAATCGCTCTTTATCCATTTCTCTTCTTGGGGTTTTGGGCATATACACACATATACCCAGCAAGTCCTTCAAACTACCAGGTCCAAGACTTGAACTGTGCTGTCAGCCATGTGGGATCCAGCCACCTTAATCATTATGCCAGCAGTTGGCCCAGGACACTGTTTTTGTGGTTTTTTTTTTCAGGACACTGTTTTTTACTGCCAAGTATACCTATAAATTTGGTCACTATTATTTCTGTATTGAGGTGTTTTGTTTGTTTTTTCAAATCTAAACCCAGTTTAGTAATTACGATCACTTAAATATTGTTGCTATTATTATTATTATTATTTGGAGATTTCAGCTATAGGGTGTGTGTGCTTGCTGGAGAGAGAAGGAGGGGTGAAGAGACAGAGTGGAGTCGAGAGACAGAAAGCAAGAAATCACCCTCCATGGGGGATGGCCATGCTGCAATACCTTCTCCTCCATTCTCCTCTTGGGATTTTGTGCATGCATGCACACATGCCTAGTGTGAGTTTCAAGACACCAGGTCCAGGATTTGAACTGAAGTAGACTATGTGGGAGTTCTTACATGGGAGTACCACCTGCTGGTCCCAATAATGTTATTATTTTTCAAATAAAAAAGTTCACCTATGTTTTCCCTATTCTATTCTTATTCCTTATATCAAATAAGCAAGTAAGATTAATAATATAATTACACTAATTATACCAGCACTAACTGCATTTCAAAAAAAAGGCAATGAAGTGCCTATTTCTCTATTACAATCACAAAATAACTTTGGGAATCCCATGAATAGTGTTAAAAATTCAAACTAGGTAAGTTTTAATATTTACATATTGAAGATTAAAAATAAACATTAAGACAAATAAATGTACTCTTTTGCCAAGAACTCCAATACAATGTGGTCTTATAGCTGTAAAAGAATGAAAGTTTTCTGTAGGGAGACTTATCATCATGGCAGAAAAATTAAACTGTTTTATAAAGCCATACTTTAAAATAAATGCAAAGTAAGTTCCATTATAATTTGAGATCTCTCAATTAATTGTTCAGGTTTTTTTTTTTTTTTTACTTAAGGCTGCCATATTATTTACTTCATACAAACTTGCAT